AGCAGAGCTCCTGGCAAGAGGAGGATTTGAGGAGTGGAGAGGGGCTCCCCAGGCGGGTGAGGCAGGGAGGGCATCCTAGGCAGAGGGAACAGCCAGTGCAAAGAGGCGGCATTGAGAAGCGGGTGTTCAGTGTTTCGACAAAGGAGGGAGAAGCAGGAGGGGCCGGAGGCCAGCGCCAGGCGGCAGCAGGCTGAAAGGCCAGCAGAGGACTGTGGAGTGGAGAGGAACTGGGGCAGAGGGACAGAAGGACAGACCCCAGGGTCATCTGGCAGGAGGTGAACAGGACTCGGTGGCCAGTTAGGTGGGAATGGAGGGGCACGTGGCAGTGGGCAGCTGAGGTGCCCCGTCATTGAGGGAAGGCCCGGGAGGACGGCGCCTGCACACTTCCTGCCAGCAAGGCTGCAGGGAGATGTCTACTAAACTACTGCGAATGGATCTGCGGGTCTAGGGCTTGGAGGAGATTTGGAAAGAAGGTCTAGAAAGAGCAAGGCTTGGGCTCCAGGTGGTATGGAGACCTGGAAGTGTCTGGGCTCTCTGGGAACATCCGCATTTAAGGAGCGGTTGAGGAAGGGGGCTGAGGCGAGGAGGATAGAGTGGGGCAAGGTCGGGCCAAAGTCAGCTCAACAGAAGTTTCCACCGAAGCAGAAGGAGGAGGCTTTCAGGGCAGGAGCAGGGCGGCCAGGCCAGGAAAGGAGGCCTGGAAGGGCCAATTGCATTTGGTCACCGGGAGGCCAGAGACCAGTGAGAATGGTGTCAGAGGGCAGAGCGCATGGGCAAGGGAGGGTCAGCTGACATGTGCGATGGGTGTGCAGGGGAAGAGGTGGTTGGGCGGGAGAGCCAGTGGAGGAAAGGGCAGAAGGACGTTTCAAACATCACGCGTGGGCTTCCCTGGTGGCGCAGAGGTTGAGAGTCCGCCTGCCGATGCAGGGGACACGGGTTCGTGCCCCGGTCCGGGAAGATCCCACATGCCGCAGAGTGGCTGGGCCCGTGAGCCATGGCCGCTGAGCCTGCGCGTCCGGAGCCTGCGCTCTGCAACGGGAGAGGCCACAGCAGTGAGAGGCCCGCGTACCGCAAAAAAAGAAAACATCACGCGTGACCGAGTCCAGAGGAGAGAACAGAGATAAGCAGGAAAGAGGAAGTAGCTGGCTCCGTGTGCAGGGGAGGTGCGGAAGAGCCCGGGGGTCCGCTTTCCGCGCGCTGGGGACATTGGAGGCTGGGCGGGCGGGAGCAGAGGGGGCTCCCACCTGTGGATGCTGGTTGCCCCGGTGGAGGAGGACGGAAACTCTTCTGCGTGGCACAAGGACTAGCCTGGCACCGGAGGCCATGAGCCTGTCCTGGACCTGCCCAGTCCTCTTCCTGTAGAGCCAGTGGGAGCCTGGGGCCGTCAGGGTGGAGGGCTGGTTTGTTGCTACAGAAGCTTGTCGTCAACATCCCAGGGACCAGCCGTGCCCTCGGAGGGCTCCGGCGTTCTTCCTCCTTCCTCCAGTGGGGCGGGGACAATGGCCCAGCTAGCGCTCTCTGCCCTCCCCGAGGTTCCCCTGAGGACGGGGCTCAGCTGTTTTGCTCACTCCATCCCAGCCCGGACCAGCGCCTGGGCTGCTCTCTCAGTAGTCGTGGAGGGAAGCTGACTCAGCTCTGCCCAGTCCACCCTTGGTGTGGGAGCTCTGCCCAGTCGACCCTTGGCGTGGGCCGAGCAGCAGGGCTCAGGCAGCCCGTCCACATTCCAGTTCCCAACTCTCCACCCACCCTCCAGCAAGAGGCTGGAGATTAGGCTTGAAACCCGAGTTGTGGGCCTGGCGTGGGGCAGGGCCTCAGATCCCACTTCCCACCGGCCAGATGCACTCACAGCTGGGTGCACCCCAACCTGAAGCCAGCCAGATCGGGCCTCAGTCCGAGGAGACTGGGAGACAGCGGAGAAACCGAAGAAGGGCTGGAGAGCAGGGCGGGACCTCAAGCCGGAGGCTGGATGCAGTGCAGCTCCGTCCTGGCCGGGGGGCACCGGCAGCGCCAGCCCCTCCGCCTTGTGACCAGGGCACCAGGGGACATCCAGGATGTGGAAAGACACGGAATACAGAGGAGGAGGGAGCAGTGGGGAAGGAGAGGAAAGGCGCCCGAAGGAGAAGGGGCCAAAGCAGGGCAGCTGTCCCGCATCCCCATCTGATTGTCCCGGACGGGACGACAACAAAGTAGGGCAGGAGAGGAGGTGCTGACTCCCACGGGCCCGGCTCTGCCAGGTCTGCGGCGACTGGGGGACGTTGCCGACCCGGAGGGAGGGAGGAGCGCGAGGTTCCCCATCTCCTCTCAGGGCTCTGACCAAGGGGGTGCTCAGGGCCCAGGCCCAGCAGCCTCCTGGGCTCACGAGTCCCCAGGGCTGGGAAGGAGAAGAAAGTTAATTGAACAGCTAATAGGTAACGGGCCCCGGACCAAATAATAATAATTAACTTTGACTGAGCACCGTGCTGGGCGCTCCTCTTAGCCCTCCACATGAATTATCTCATGTAAGGTTCACGGCGGCCCTATGAGAGGGGTGCCACTGGGGTTGCACCCACTTTACAGGTGGGGGAACTGAGGCAGGAGTCTGAGGCCACAGCACCAGGACTGAAACGAGTGCTGCACTTTGGATGATGCTGTCTACCTGTACAGGCAGGACGCTAAGGCTCAGGACACCCAGAGGATGTGGGTGTGTGTGTGTGAGGGCGTGTGTCCAGAACGACTTACCCCTCACCCAGTCATGGGCTTCCTCACAGGCAAAATGAGCACTTTGGGCTAGAAGTGAGTGTTCCAACCTTTTAACCACGAACTCTTACTCAATGGAAATCTTATATGGGATCCCCAAGTTATAAGACAGATCAGCAAGGAGTGTTTCCACGTGTGGGTCAGAGCTGACTGGCCTTCTTCTTTGGCCCCCCTGGACAAGCCCAGACATCTGGGAAGGGATGTAGAGACACGAAGGGCCCCTCACGCTGTCAGCCTTTGCCTTGAAGACCCCTGCTATCGCTGAGAAATTTCTAACCTCCACGACTAAGAGTTACCATCTTTGAACATAACGCACGCTTGCAAATCAGAAAGGCAAAGAGCCGCAGTATAGGGCTTCCCTGGCGGCGCAGTGGTTGAGAGTCCGCCTGCCGATGCAGGAGACACGGGTTCATGCCCCGGTCCGGGAGGATCCCACATGCTGCGGAGCGGCTGCCCCCGTGAGCCATGGCCGCTGAGCCTGCGCGTCCGGAGCCTGTGCTCTGCAAAGGGAGAGGCCGCAGCAGGGAGAGGCCGCAGCTGTGATAGGCCCGCGTACCACCAAAAAAAGAAAAAAAAAAAAAAGAGCCACAGTATAGAGCTGTATGTGAGCGATTCACAGCCACACGAACTAGATAGGAACAGCCCCAGCACAAAGAGTTAACTTTATTTTCAGTATAAAGACGCGCAAATTAATCATGAGATACTGATTGGGTTACTTATCATTTTGCAGCCTCTCCCTGAAATGTAAATTGAAACCAAAGCCACTTTATAGAAAAAACCAGCACCAGCATATTTGACAAATATTAACCCAGCGATTCTCTCCATGAAGGCCCCAGGGCCCAGCTCCCACCCTCACTGCTGCAGGAGGCTTCAAGGGTGGCCTGGCAGTTTTGAGTGGCTTCAGGATGGAGGAGCCCCAAGGAACCCAAGGGCATAGCTGTGCTGTGCGTAGTTTTCCTTCATCCATGATATTTACGCATATAAATTCAACCTACGTACGCTGGGCACAGCCTGTGTTGGACAACCACAATTTGGGGGCCAGGGCGGGAGCAGCTGTGCCAGCGGGTGCAGAAGTGTGTCCCTATTGTAACAGTATAGACGAGCTGGGGTGCCTGGGGTGCACACACACACCCCGCCCCCGCCGCTCTTCCTCTTCTGCTCCAGGCTCTGCTCCCCACGTTCCCCAGGGTCCAAGGTGATCGGGAAACAGCTGGGAGAAGAGCCGGCCAGGCCAAGGACCTGCCCATGTTCCCAGAGCAACACGCAATCAGCTTGGGATGACAGCTGGCTTCCCCAGATGCGCCTGGGGACACACCTCCCTCCAGTCACCCTTCACTTCCTTCTTCAGGGGCCTGGCCCCGTTCAGTGAGGTGATTCTCATTTGCATGGAAAGGAATTTTGAGGCAGTGGCTCAGTGCAATAACCTAAATGGGTTTGTTAAATCATAATCCTTGAGTTTCACCACTGGGAAGTCCCCTAACCTTATGCAATCCACACTAATGTGACTTACACCGGTGGCCGGCCTGCAACAGGGACATCACTACATTTAAGGCAGCCCCTTCCACGTCTCAATGGATCTTATTAGAAACTTTTTCTTGAATGTTCCCCTTATTATTTTACACCCATACATCCTTAGGGTAGCTCCGACCAACATTTATCCTTTTCCTTGGAATATTTCAAGTGCTAGAAAAACAGGACTCACATGGGCCAACCCAAACTGACATTATTTCCACATGCTCCTCACGTGCCCCACTCCCCACGCGTGCAGGACCAGCACCCACCTCTGTCCCTTCCATCAGGCGTGATCAGGCCCTTTGCCCCAGCCCCCCAGCCCTGCTGGGCTCTTGGCTTGCCCGCTGTTCCATAAGAACGCTTCCAGTCTCCCTTTTATGACTAGAAACACTGATTTTGGTTGGTAGAGTTTGCCAACAGGTCCATTAAGCTGACCTCCCGCTGTGAGACCTTTGCTGGTAGAGAAAGTTGGTGTCGCGTGGGAAGGAGCACGTGGCCGGCTCCCCAGGGCCCGGCTGTACCGCCCACTGGCCATGAGATCTCAGAGGCGGAACAGGGGCGCCTGCCAAGAAAACGCTTCTCGCCAGGTCGTGTCTCCTGGTGGGAGGCTGCATCTTCCCAGAGGTGCAGCCTCTTCTAATTCACACAAAGGCGGCTGTGAGCCCCAGCTCCGGCCTCGCCTGGGGAAGTCAGGTCACCTCTGGGCCTCTTATCCGTAAAACGACGCTATGAGTGATGGCACCTGGCAGGCGGCCAGAAATATTTAAGTGAATGAATGAATGGATGAATAAATGGATGGATGAATGAACGATACCCATCTCACTGAGCGGCTGTGAAGACTCAGTGAGATCACGCAGGTGCTTACACCACACTGGCTCCCAGTAGGAAATCAAAACATGGTGCCCCCTCCCTTCACCTCCTTCTCTAGGTCCAAAGAAGAAAACCCTTCTTCACGCACCGACAGCCTGCTTTCCGGGTCTCGCCTGCATTGCTCTCTCTTCCCACACGTGCTCTGCGCCAGGACCGACCTAGCCGTCCGTCTGGTCCGAGGCTACGGGGGCGGCAGCTGGGAGTGTGGGCTGATCCGTGGCCCTGATGTTCGGTGCCTGGCTGGTGGCCCTGGCTGTGGGCACTGCCACACCCACCCTCTCCAGCCGTGGAGGCCATTAGAGGCTGTTGACAGAGGAGGAAAGTTAGTCAGTCTCCCCGCCATCCAGCAGCCGTAGCAGCTCTGTTACATCACAGCCCACACACCCGGCTGCCTGTCACCCACTCAAACGCGCTGGAGGACGCCCCGGCCCGGCCCCGGCCAGTGATCCGTCATGACTGTGGCTCCCTACCGCCTCCCCACACAGCTGCGGGCCCCGCCTTGCCCGGGTACCATCAGCTCCTTTTCTCACCGAGATCACTGCGGTGAGAGTGGCGTGAGTAGCCTCTCTGCCTCCTGAGGTGAGGCGGACCAGAGCGCTCGCGCAGGGCTCCGTGGCATCCGGGGCTCCCTCCCAACTGGCCCCTGTGACCAGCCACCAGAGAGCCGGGGACAGCTGCAGAGGATCGTTGGTTTGAATTATGCAAATGGGTCGGGTGGGGCTGGGGTGTCAGTGGGAGTCGGCTCTGCCGCTCGCCTGCCGTGACTCGCATTTCTAGAACCTCAAGCCTCAGTTTCATCAGCTGTGAAGTGGGGACGATAGCAGCACCTACTCTGCACCCTGCTTTAAGTTAAAGGAGAGGATGCTTGATGCAGAACCAGGACGTGATCGTAAACGGCTTCCATCAATTGCCGTAACGACGCTTGACTCTTCCTTCCCTTTACTGTGGGTCAAACGGCCAAACGCAAACGCTCAGGCGAGGTCACGCACGTGGAAGACCTCGGCGTATGTGAAACACGCATGTGCACAAGGGGAGGGTGAGTCCTACTGGGCAACGCTGACCCCAGTGCGTGGGGCGTTCTGTGGTGCTTCCTCCCTCAGGTAAACCTTAGTGTGTCAAGGGTCAGTCGCCATGATTCCACCGGCACAGCCTGCCATGGTCTGTTTTCCCTTGTCTCTGTCTCCATCTCTGGGGGCCTCATCTGCCGTGTGGGTGTTCCCAGAGCTCGCCCGAGTCCAAGGCACCATCCCACATTCTGCAAAAGTAAACACCGCTCAGCCTTGCTGGTTCCCTGAATGGGTTCTGGGTGAATCAGCCGGACAGCTTACACAGCCTGTTAAGTAATCATCCTCTCTCCCGGGGGTTCCCCTCTTTCCAGGAAGTGGCCTGTAGAAAGTCTGCTGTCTTGGGATGTGCTGCCCCAGCCCAGTCACTGCCCAGATTGCGCAAATGGTCAAGCCGGTGAGCAGTGCATACAAAGGCCGGGCTGCCGAGGTGGATGCTTCCAGTGAAAGGAGCGCAGGGCCCGGTGCAGGTAAACTCCAGGCTCCTGAAACGGCCCCTGGCAGTTCTCACCTTGGGCCCATGTTCTCCAAGGGCCAATTCTCTTTATCTGATTTCTATTTGACTATCAAACTGCTGGCTCTGGGGAAAGACAGACATGGTCTCCAAACCTATGAGGTGGAGTCATTTCCGGAATGAAACACTGGCTTCCTGTGGTTAAGGGCTTCTGTACCTTGAAGGCAGCACAAGACTTAGGGTCTAGGAGGGTAAAATTCATGGCTAAGTCTATTGAGGTACAGCTGACAAATAAAATTGTAATATATTTAAAGTATACAACATAACGATTTTTAAAAAATTAAATTTTGATGAAGTTTATTTCTTTCTTTCTTTTTCTTTCTTTCTTTTTTTTTTTTTTGCGGTACGCGGGCCTCTCACTGTTGTGGCCTCTCCCGCTGCAGAGCACAGGCTCCAGACACGCAGGCTCAGCGGCCATGGCTCACGGGCCCAGCCGCTCCGCGGCATGTGGGATCCTCCCGGACCGGGGCACGAACCCGCGTCCCCTGCATCGGCAGGCGGACTCTCAACCACTGCGCCACCAGGGAAGCCCAATGAAGTTTATTTTTTTACGTTTGTCCCTCATGCTTTTGGTGTTACGTTTAAGAAACCATTGCCTGATCCAAGGCCACGAAGATTTATATCTAAGAGTTTCACAGTGTTAGCTGTTACATTTAAAAAAATCTTTGATCCATTTTGAGATTTTTTTTTTGATATGGTATGTTTGTGGGACGCGTCCAGCTTCATCATTTCGCATGTAGCTATCCATCAGTCCCAGCACCGTTGAAAACACTGTTCTTTCCCCCACTGAATTGTCTTGGCGCCGTTGTGGAAAATCAATTGCTCCTACGTGATTTATTTCTGTATTCTCAATTCTGTTCCACTGATCTACACGTCGGTCCCTATATTACTACCATACTGTCTTGACTGCAGTAGCTTTATAGTCAGTTTTGATATTGAGAAGTGGGCGTCCTCCGGCTTTGTTCTTCTTCATCAGTGTTGTCGAATTTCAAATGTCATCGAATTTCCATGTAAATTTGTGGATCAGCTTGTCAATTTCTGCAAAGTAGCCACCTGGGTTTTTGATAGGGATTGCGTAGACTCTGTAGGTCAATTTGGGAGTATTACCATCTTAACAATATTATGTCTTCCGATCCATATACTGGAGATGTCTTTCTATTTATTTAGGTCTTTAATTTCTTTCAACAGTGTTCTCCCTCTCCCTCTCACCCCCAACCCCAGCCTTTTCCTTCCAGCCAAAATAACAGCAATCTCTTCAAGGTAACACATCAGATGCGGTTATGAGCCCCTCAGCCTCCTGGATGGTCCTCTGAGATGTGTTCCTGTTTGTCCGGGTCCCTTTGAGCTGTGGAACAAAGAACCCCTGAGCACAGAGGTCTCCCTCCGACCTGCGTGGCGGGGGGGAAGAACTGTGCCTCTGGGGACTCCACAGCACCCCAGGACACCACACTGACCTCCAGTAACCCACACGCTCCTAGGCCCCAGCACGCTGGTCCTGTGTTGCTGTCTGCCTGCCCCAGGACGCTATGAACCCATTCGAAGCAGGGACCCAGGCTTGGCCAGCTCTGTGTCTCTAAGGTCTGACTCACTTTTTCTGTTAATGTTTATGCAGTAAGGCAGCTCCCTGGATCTAAACAACTATTAATTCCACTGAAGAGTACATCCGGGGACGCTCCAGGACAGGATTGATCCTGTGGCCCGTCCTGTGAATGAAAGTCCCTCTCTCTTTGGAAACCAAGCATTCTAAGTACGGCTGGAGATTGCCATTCATCCTCTCATTCCACAGCCTGCTTCCAACTGACAAGTCTCAGGGCATTTAGCTCTGACTTAGGTGCTTACATGGGAGCACTGTTTGCTTTATGAGTACCCAGAGGTGATAAATAATAATAATAATAATAATACTCTCTTCTCCTGGGTGCTAAGCCTTTAAATTGAATGTTTCATGTGGCCGGTGCCTTCCAATGCCCACAGGCAACTTGCAGCACTTTCAGATAGGAATTGCAAACAGTGAGAACCATGTGACCCAGTTGCAGGAGAGCCTCGGGAGACCGCCAGGAGTGCTGTTTCTGAGATACGGCATCTCAGGGAACAGAAGTTTCCTGGTAGGGCAGAAAGAGGATCAGTCAGAGCAGAAGACACTGGGCATATTGTAAACTAGATCCACAGGCTGAATGACCTAGGAAGTTCCCCCCAAGTTAGGCTTATCTAGGGAAACCCTGTTGGCCGAGACGCCGACATCCCACTGGTGTCCGGACACCAGGTGGGTACAGCACTTCTTCTGAAGGAAGTGAGGCTGGATCCCCGCCCAGCGTTGCTGGGGAGATTTTACTTGTCCACCAGAAATTCCAAAGTAGATGCAATGAACACCACCTGGTCTGGTCCTGCACTCTGGGGCATCTTTCTTTCTTGGAGAGGGCACTACAGAAATCTGATTTTTACAAACTAATCATGTTCTGTGTGAATCTGTTCTCAAATGTTTTTCATAGTATTTGGGTCAGCAGCCAGGCTCTAAAATGGAAGAAGCTAGTGAAGAAAACCCTAATGTGTCTTTTCACCAGGCTGCCTTTTGGAGTTCCCACCAGCACCAAAATAAAGACATAAAGATACAGACATGTTTAGGGACCCTCCCAAAAATAGGGGGGAGTCTAAGAAAATGACCCTATAGCCCTACCCATGTGCCCAGGATTTCTAAAATCAACGTCTTAGCACCTCACTCTGCAATAGGGACGGACAACCAGGGATCCAGGACCTTGAAATACAGAGACTCAAACAAACAAATAAGCCTGAAGAAACAGTCTATAAAGGAGGAAGGAAAAAATCATTCTTATGGAACTCCTGAAAGGAATGCTAATTCCATCCATGAAACAAGAAGCAGATGGTAGACCAAAAGAAGGCTCAGAAGACAACTAACAGTTCTGGAGAATTAAAAATTTGATAGAAGTAATGAAATAATCAAAGGACAGGAAAAAGAAGTTGAAGACCTCTCCTAGGAAGTAAAGGCAAAGTGAAGGTCTAGGACTTCCCAAGCGATCCAGTGGGTAAGACTCTGTGCTCCCAATGCAGGGAGCCCAGGTTCAATCCCTGGTCAGGGAACTAGACCCTGCATGCATGCTGCAACTAAGAAGTCCACATGCTGCAACTAAAAGATCCTGCATACCGCAGCTAAGACCCAGCACAGCCAAAATAAATAAATAAATAAATAAATAAAAATAAAATCTTAAAAAAAAAAAAACACAGGAGAGCCTCGGGAGACTGTCAGGAGTGCTGTTTCTGAGATACAGCATCTCAGGGAACAGAAGTTTCCTGGTAGGGCAGAAACAGGATCAGTCAGAACAGAAGACACTGGGCAGTCTAGGAGAAGTGAAGGTGTAGGAGAAGAAAGACAAGCAAACTAATGGCCTAAGGCAAGGAGCCCAGTTAGAAACAAAGCCCCAAAAAAGCAGTCTAGAAAGAGGAACTGAGAAAACAGGAGAGGAAATAATGGATAACATAATTCAAGAAAATTTTCCCAGGCTAAAGGGTCTGAGTGTCCAGAATGAAAAGGCCCCTGAGTTCCAGCACAATGGAGGAAATCTGACCAGTGACCAAGGCTTTCCTGGGAAAGTGACTTGCTTTTATTTCCCTGAAAACTTGTAAGCAGTCACTTTCCCCCTGAAATGTGGGAGGAAAGAGGCCTCTGTGAGTTGTTGCTAGTGCTGGTAGGTGAGAAGGCTTTGTAGCAGGAACTAAAGGGAGGTTTAGCATGCCCTACCCGCTACCCCACCTCAGCACCAGGGCATACACTCTGGGCCCCCAACACTCCCTCCTTACCACCTTGGGGTCTCCTGAGATTTTTCTTTGAAGGAGATTTCATGGGCTGAAACATTGAATTGAAAGGGGTGCCTAATCAGTGGAGAGGTTTACTAAAGGGGAATGAGGCTCAGCCTGCGTGCAGGAACTGGACCGTGGCGGGAGGGTCCAGGCGCCCTGCTGACTGTCCCTGGGGAGCTGGGGAAAAGATACCGTTTTAGGAACAAAGGCATCAGGAGCTGTGGCAGGAAGGGACCTCTGACAGCCGCCACAGGGTGCACCTGTGTTGGGTGGGGGAGGATTTTGGCTGAAGGAACGGGTGATGCCATAGCATCATCCCCTGCTCGGCCTTTTTTAAATCCCTCATCCGACGGCACACCTGTCCACGGAGCAGCGTTTCGAGGCTGGATGAGCAATCCATTCATGCTTACTCTGTGGTTGAGTGTGAAGAGACCGGAGCAGGGATGACAGCCCTGGCCGCTCGTTTAAATCAAGGTAGCAGGAGCCGAGGGCCTTTCTCCAAGCACAGGATTGATCTGTGATCCCTGAGTCACGAGCAGGTGAATGGGAGAGGCTTTCAAACTGGGGCGTTGGAGGGAAGCTCAGGTTAGTAATAGAAGCATAGTGAGCTGTTCTTGATATGACTACCACTCTCAGTAATTATTATTATTATTTGACCTACTCAGATGGATCCAATTAAATAAGAATTGTTTTGCAATCAGGATATTCAGAGTATGACAAAGAGCTCTCTCTTTGGAGGCAAGGACGATCCCTTGGGTTTATACTGCTCTGGGTGGTTTATAAGGCAGCTCTACCTGTAGGGTCTCCTTTAGATTTTGATCCACACAACCAAGAAGACCAGACATTATTGCCTTATTTTATGAGCAAGGAGTTATTTTATGCTTCAGAGAGGCCAAGTGACTTGCCAAGGTCACACAGCAGGAAAAAGACAGAGCCAGGGCTGGTCTGTTCTTCTGGCCCCCATTTCAGATTTGCTCCACTACTGTCCTGGGGTGGAGGGCGAGCAAGTGCTGGAAGGAGCAGGGATTTGGGGTTAAATAAACAACTGTAATATAGGTCCTGATGATGGGACCCACTGGGTGGCAGTGGGACCCCAAGCCTTCCGGAATCTGTAAGCCTCAATCCTCCACTAAGCCCCAACCAGGCTGTGCTGTGAAAACTCTGGGTGTTGTTCGCATCTGAAGGAGACATAAGATTCTTGTTACTGACATTTCAAAATTAAAATGTGGTTTTCCTCCTTATTATAACAGCATGACAAGTTTATTACAGAAAATCTTGAAAATACATAAGACTATGAGGAACAATTAGAAATCACCCATATCTCTCTTAACACTATATTTCCTTTCTGAGGTCTTTCATGTATAGATAGGTATTTATTTTTTAAAGAATTAGGATCATGCTGTCTATGGTTTTGCATTCTATTTTTTTCTCCACTTTAACTTA